ACAATTGCCGTTCGGAGTCGGCGTAAAACTGTAGGTCCCTCCGCTTTGTGTGACAATATAAAGGCGCACGCCACAAGTCGGAGGAGAAGCTCGGCCAAACACTAACATATGTGTAAGCGCCAATCTATTATTATTATTAATTAATTTTTTGTTTGCTTTACTTTTTTTGTTTTGTTTCGTATATGATTTTAATTTCTCTTATTTAAATTGATATTTTAATATTCATCGACTCTCTTCTTCTTCTTTATTGGCGCTGTAACCGCCTAAGCGATTTTGGCCGAGTCCACGCCAGTCACTTCTCTTCTGTGCTAACTAACGCAAATTGGAAATGCCAAGTGAAGCCAAGTCCTTCTCCACCTGGTCTTTCTAACGCAGAGGAGGCCTTTCTCTTCGTCTCTTACCAGCATCGCGGCCCGCGTTGAATATTTTCAGAGCAGGAGCGTTTCTGGCCATTCGAACGACATGGCCAAGCCAGCGGAGCCGCTGAATTTTAATTCGCTGCACTATGTCTATATCGTTGTAAAGCTCATACAGCTCATCGTTAAATCGTCTGCGATATTCGCCATCACCAACGCGTAAAGGTCCGTAAATCTTTCGCAGAATCTTTCTCTCGAAAACTCCATGAGCCGCCTCATCAGATGCTTTCTTTGTCCATGCCTCCGCACCATACACCAGCACATTGACTTATAGAGTGTGATCTTTGTACGACGAGAGAGGAGTTTACTTCTCAATTGCCTACTCAGCCCAAAGTAGCACTTGTTGGCAAGAGTGATTCTCCGTTGGATTTCAAGGCTGACATTATTATTGGTGTTAATGCTGGTTCCCAAATAAACGAAGTCGTTTACTTTTTCAAACTTTTTACTGTCAACAGTGACGTGGGTGCCAAGACGGGTATGCTCTGACTGTTGGTATGATGACAGGAGATACTTCGTTTTGTCCTCGTTCACCATCAGACCCATTCGCTTTGCTTCTCTATCCAATACCGAGAAGGCAGAACAGACGTAGCCCTTGTTTTTACCGATAATATCGATGTCGTCGGCATACGCCAGCAATTGTACGCTCTTGTAAAGTATCATCGACTAATTTAATTTAATTAATATAGTAAATTGCATTTTATTTAACTTGATTTAATTAAATTGAAATTAATTTTTTTAGATTATTTTTATTTAATTTATTAATTAATATATTTTTTTTTGTGTTCTTTTATCATTTTATCTTTATTTTGTTATTGTATTTTATTTTATTTCCCTATTCCTATTTTTTTTATTTCCATTATTTCTTAATAAAAAATACAGTTCATTCTCTAACAAAAACCATATAAAGGTAGTTTCAAAGTTTGTAGAAAACTAAAAAATATGATTTAAATTGTCCAACTTCTTTCTCAGAATTTTTAGTAAGCAGATCTGCAGCCCATTCAAATGGGCTGGGTTTTTTTTTTTATGGAAAAATAAATAAAGGTAAAATAATGCATGAAAAGCGAAAAAGCATTGTGCCTATTCAAGAGTATGGGAGTGTACGTAGTTATCTTTGCATCCCAGTGGGAAAATGTAACGTATAGTAATCGAAAAAATAATCAGTTAAACAACCCGTATTACATTCGAAAAGGGCGTTGTCCTAAGAAAGGTGGGCATTCAATTTTTCATTACCTAGTATCGAGAAATGAATGTGTTTTAATATGCAATTTTTGGACTTCTTGGATACATTAGACTGCTGATTACATAGTTATCAGTAATATAATCGAAAACTCATAAGAAATACATTATATTATTTATCACGCATGTAATGCATTACTACTTTTCCGACTGGGATGTTATTGAGAGCACGAAATCAATCTAAAGTGCTTTAAGATTTATGCATGCATGATTGCGGTGCTTGCTCGCCATGTGTTTACCTGCTCGTATATGCCCTTCGACATCGGCTACTGAACCGCGCTTTACTTTTTCCACGATCGCACCGCAACCGCTGATCTCACTATTCCCGCTGGAGTCCGTTGTTGCCGGTGAAGATGTCGCAAGCTGCTGACCGCCTATGATTTTTAAGCCGAGAATATCCTCACCGTCGTAATACTTTTTTAATATCATGTGACCAACCATGTGAGTGTTATCCGCGGATATTTGCCAATTCACCGGTTGCTATGTTTGTACGTACGTACATGTGTGGTTTTGCGATTTTTTAAATTTTGTTTTTATCCATTTTTTTTTTAAATTTAACAATGGATTTGGAATAAGTTATTATTTGCAGGGTTGTTGTTTTGTATAAATTTCGTAGATATAAGTTGTTGTTGGTAAGAAGTTGATTGGTGAAATTTTGTTATGGTGATTGTGGTGGAGGATTGCGTAGATGGAATGGTGGTGTGACCAATCGAAACGATTAGTTTTTTGAGTTTGAGAAGTTCGTTATATTTGCGTTTGAGTAGGAGAAGGTAGCGGAGGTGGATGTTGCATAAAACATTGTAAATGGAAAATGGGTAAACGTTTTTAAGAGTTGTTAAATTCTTTCTCCTTTTAATTGTTAGTATATATAATACAAAAAAATTACTGAAAGCAAACACGAAGTTTGCTGCTTGGATTAGGCTTAAGGTAAGTACGTGGATAGACGTAGCTGCTTAATTATCTTCACTAGATATGTATATGCTTTATATACATATATACGCATAAAATTGAGTAAAGTATTTTACAAATAGAATTGAAGAAACTGCGCGAGCTTATAAACTTATTAGAGTAGCTTAAATTAATAAATACATATTGTATGTATGTTGTACATTCTCTGTGTAAATTTTCATACATAAAGCATACATAAAAGTTTATGAATATTTTAGTACAATTGATGATAATCACAGACTTTTACAAAAAAAAAATAGAAATGATTTTTTTATATTTTCATAGGACAATAAAAGTTTTCTTAATAACAAGTATGTATGTATATTACAGGCTTTATTTCATAACTAATACAAATTCATGAGAACACACACATAGAAGTAGACACCACTGTCAAGCTTCAAATTTCATTCTTTTTAGAGATCAGCATTTATTTTTTTATTATTATTTTAAATATTTGCATGCGACATACATATACAAAATTTAACATTAAAATTGAAAAAAGCAATAATCATTTATATAAACACAATCACTATAAATAAATACATAAGAATGTTTTATCAGAAATCAGGCATTACGCAAACAATTTTTTAAATGATTTAAAACGAAGAGAGAGAGAGTTAGAATGTTATGGTGTTAGGAAGTGCAAATAAAAGCGGAAGGAAGTTTTGAGGGTATGTATTGTTGTGTACGGATCCAAAAAAACGCTATAGAAATTTATATGAGGCTGTTTAACCGATATTTAATATCTGACCATATCGATGGCTGAGTGGAACATTGACCTATCTCGGCAGCCAGTTCGAAAACACTCTACCTCAAAAAACTTTTCAAGAACGCCCTATTTCAGAACTCGTTTCGTAAACGCCCTATTTCAGCTGTCGATTCAAAAACGCCCTATATCAGCATATTTTCAATACATTTTGAAGTGAGATAGGGCGTTTTTGTACCGTATTTTGAGATAGGATGTTTTTCAATTAAATTCTGAAGTAGGGCGTTCTTGAAAGTTTTTTGAGATAGAGCGTTTTCGAACTGGCTGCCGAGATAGGTCGATCTTCCACTCAGCCATCGATATGTACGTATGAAAACTTCTTAACGCAACAAGTCAGAACTTACTGAACTCGTTTTATGGACTTCCCACAGAAACGTTCATCTCCGTCATGAAAGGTGTGTCTATACAGTGTCGCGGTTGAAGGTCATTGATTTTTTAATTTCTGATGGTGTTACCCGTCAATTAATTAAGCATTGTATCTGCTGCTTATGTGACTTGGGCAAAGATATACTATTGCACGTTTCAGTCGAATTAGATGCGATTTCCAGTAGAGAACTTTTCAGGAGTCTTAAGTTTATTTAGTAGAAGTTTTGCGAAGAGTAAAGACACAATAGACCTATGGGCCAAAGTAATTACATACCGCATATTAATATCTGATTGTTCTGTAAATCTCATTTTAACTAATGATGGTTTTGATTCTTTCTTAGCGAGAGAAGCTCCTTTATTTTTATCATGCCCTCGTCTGACCAGATAGCGTTCGATATTTAGAGGTACTGATGTGTTTCTGTTTTGCATTCGCTGATTATTAGTCCCGCACCCATCTATAATACGGAACGTTACTTGTTTGGATATTACTATGCCTTGGTAGCCATTCTACGATCAATCAACGAAAATGCTAACACTAAAA